GAGGATTGCATATGCGAAAAGAAAATATCAGCCAGGCTTAATATGTGGGGGTGTGTGGAGGGCTGGCTGGGGTGCAGTTGTCTGGTCACCCAGAAGATCGGGTGAAAAGAGGACTAAAGATAAAAAGGCTGCTACTCTGAGTATGAATCCTGTGGTGCCTTTAACTGCGAAGTAAGAGGGGAATGGAATTTTGTCAGATTCCGAGTTGAGTCCTGATGGATTGTTTGATCCAGTTTCACGCAGAATAAGAGATGTACTATGACTAAGGCCACGATAATGAAGGTTAGGATAAAGTGAAAAGCAAAGAATCGTGTTAGGGTGGCTTTATCAACTGAGAAGCCACCTCAAATTCATTCAACAAGGGTTGTGCCGATGTAGGGAATTTCTGATAGCTTTGTAATTACAGTAGTTCCTCAGAATGATATTTGTCCCCAGGGTGATACATATCCTATGAAAGCGGTGACCAATGAGCTGGCTCTGGAAAACTATTTAATATGGTGCCTAGCACATAATAAATGGTCAATTAATGCTACATATTAATATTATAATTCTGCTAAGGGGACAGGCAGAGCCTGCTCAGCTTTCTGTTACGATAAAAAGAGTTCAGCTTTTTCATTACTATAGAAAAACCTGGGATAATCAACTTAAATAGAGAAAAGGTTTATTTGATTTACATTTTGAAGTTTTCACTTCATAGTTGGTTGGCCTTTTTGCTTTAGGCCATGATCATGACAAGAGTATTGAGGAAGTTATTGATCTTATGGGGAGATAGGGAGACAGAGACAGGGACACAGACTGAGAGAGAGACCAGGGTTCTAAATTCCCTTGAAGGCTATGCCCCAAGTGACCTAACTTTTTCCCCACCCCCCCACCCCCAGTATTACCCCCCCGAGCTGAGACCAAGCTTTTAACACATTGACCTTTGGGAACATCTAAGATCCAAGCTAGAGTAGAAGTCAAAGCATTTAGAAAACAAAAGATTTATTTAAAAAGAAACATAAGTCCCACACTCAAAAGGCCAAGTAACCATCTAAAAAAATCAGAACATATGCATTTAAAGAAAACAAATGCAAAGTTGCCAAGGTTACCAGGAAGTTTTATATTAATCTGTGGAAAAAACAATACAATATCTTTCTCAAAAGTTTACAATATCCCAAAGGAAGTAGGTTTAGATCTTGATATTGCCAAAGGCAGGGATGAAATTGTATTTGCTGAGATTTATGGGAAATACTTGAGGTTTTAATATTTGAGGGATCAGCATTAGATAGACTCACTCTGTTGTTCTCAGGGTGCAAATTGCTGTTATTTTCTTCTAACAGTCAATACATGATGTACTTAGTCATAAAGGAAGCAAGGAAATATGTCAGTGTTTTTTTTTCAAGAATCATACCAAAAAAAGCCAAACAAACAAACATATATAGAAACAAATACCACAAGCCACTAAAACTAGGAAACAAGATTAGGGAAAATGCTTTTTTATTTGCTGTATATGTTTATGTGGCATTTAACTGTTTTCTGGGTTCACAAATGTCATTAGTAATTTTTGAAAAGAATAAATAAGATCATATAAATTTTGAATATGTAAAGCCATCCTGGTTCTCTCTAGTTCTTCCATTCCAGATGAGATAATTTACATTCTAAGCTCTTTAACATAAAAGATTTAAAAATCTGCATTTTTCTTTAAGATTAGTTTCCAACATTTAGGTTTGTTGCATCTACCAAAAAAAAAAAAAATGCTTTGTATGACATTCCAATTGGAAGAGGAAGAGATACCATAACTAAGGCCAGGGCAGGTAGCTCAGTGGTAGAGCATTTGCTTACTGTGCTTGAGGCCCTGGGGTCAGTCCTTGGCACTGGAAAAAAACAAAACCAGCATCTTAGGCAAGGAGAAAGAATCTCTTCGGTTTATCATTCTCTGCCCTTAAGCCTGAGACCCTCAACCATGAAAGTCCTTCAGAAAGAAATGTGAGAATTCTAAAGTTTTCAACTTGACCCTTCCACTGTATCCATGAATTTCCTCAACAGATTTACCTGTGGGCAGCCCCATCCCCAAGCATCAGAAGAAAAATGGATTTAGAAGGGGACTCTTGTAGAAAGAGACAAGTCCACACTTGGTATAGAAAGAGGTTTTCATCTGTTCTCGAGGCAACAAGAGCCCCATTTCTGGACTCACACAAGGTCTCCCTTATGGTCCCCAGGAAATGGGATTTGCAAACAAGAGGGTTATAGGAAAGATGATAAAGGTAGGGCAGAAATCATCTGGGGCTTGCACCCAAATCCCCAGATGGACCCAAATCCTCAGCCAGGTGGTCAGCATGGCTCCCCTGACCTGCACCCAACAACTCTAATGACCCAAGTTTCCCTCTTCCTCATCCATTCTCGTGCACAGACAATATGCACAGACGATAGATGTGCCTGCCCTTCGATGTGGTGAGGACCTGCTCTTCTTCCCTCAATCTGGTCACTGCTGCTGAGAACATGAAACCATTCCCTATCCAAAAAAGCCAAGATTTGATAGGAATGGGGGTCATGGAAGGGGTACATCTTTTTTTTCCTTTCATTATAGCAACACTGGGCTAATCTCTGAATTGTGTTTTCTAGGAAGCACAAAACAATAATGATCCAATTGTGATGAAGAATCTTCATAGTTCCAAACTGGACTATGAGCTCTGAATTCGGGGTTCCTAATAGTCTATGCAGTGACTTTGTGAAGCATTTAAAACAGCTTCTCTAATGGGTCTTCAAAGATTCTGATCCAGCAAGGCGTAGATAGAGATGATTCTGTTGCATCCCAAAGATCTTAGATTCAAAATAAGAAGAAGACAGTGAAAACTAACATTCACTGAGTATTTACTGTGTTCTGGGTCAGTGCCAACCACTGTACATGCACTAACCCATTGGATCTCCAACATGAAGAGGGTACTATTACTGTTGCCCCAGTGGTAACATGGAGGAATATTCACAGAAACAGACACTGAGCCTTAGAAACACTGATAACCTTCCCTACTTCTCACAGCTGCTGTGACATAGAATTTGAATTTAGATCTCTCTCAGTTTCAAAATGTATTCCACACTTTCCACAGGTTTCAAACTGGCGAGCATCTTGACTTGCAGGACATGAAGAATAGCTGTCTAAATCAAAGGCTTTTAACCCTGGGAAACTTTCATAATAATAGGCAAGCAACCCAAGCATCCATTGATAGATAAATGAATGAACAAAATGTAGTCTATTCATACAATGGAATATTATTTAGCATTACAAAGGATGGAAATTCTGACACATGAAAGAACATTAAAGGCATTGAACTAAGTAAAAGAAGCTAGCCACGAAAGGGCAGTTACTATGTGACACCACTTACATAGGGGACCCTGAAGAGTGAAAATCATAGAGTCATAATGTAGAATTGTGATTGCTTGGGGCTGAGGGGAGGGTGGAATGGGGCACTAGCATTTAGCAGGAATGCTGTTTCCACTTGGAAAGATGAAAAATTCTGAGAATAAATGGCGGTGATGACTCCACAGCCAATGACTGCACTTAAGACATGAAAAATGGCCAAAATTGTGTCACACACAAAAAACATATGATACCTTATCCCCCATACCATTTAAATCAGATTCTTTCCAGTACAGGGCTCAGATACACATCTACATTTTTTAAACATCCAGTTGATTCTAATGCACCCTCAGGGTTGAGAGCTCTGGAATGTGGGACCCAGAATTGTAAAATTCACCTTGCAGGAAATCCCTCATAAGGTGATCATTTCTTGCTCTCCCCTGCACACAAAATACCTAAAAGCAAACCCACCTCACTATTGAGTCTCCTGTCTGTTGCTAAGTAAGCTGCCAATTCCAAGAATTAATGAAAGATTCTGAAAGCAAAACCCTCTGAGATGTAGTAGGTATCTCTTTGATTTAGAACTGTCTGCTTGTATCTAACCCACTTTATGGACCAGCAAGGGGAAAATGACTACTAAAGTCATAATCAAGAATAGAGTCACCCAATTACATCTACAATTTAAACCACTAAGAGGGCCCCTCTGAACCTGTTAAATACATACAACAGGGTGCAGTGGCACAAGCCTGCAATACTAGCACTCAGGAGACAGAGGCAGGAGGATCTCTATGAGTTTAACCTGCAAACCTGGGCTATATAAGTGAGTTCAAGACCAGCCTGCACTATGTAGTGAGACCTTGTCTCAAAAAAAAAAAAAATACAATGGTCTTCTTTGAGTTGTAGCAGAACTTTTAGCAGTGGGGTGACAAAGAGGACTCATTATAAAGGAGAAAGACTCAGCTGTGCAGCTAGGCTGCAAGAATTCTCTGAGTCCTCCTCTGCCTGGTATTGGGCCAACACAGAAAGCTCCAAGATGTCCTCAATGAACTCACATTTTGTGGGAAAACATACATTCGCTCCTCTATTCAGCTCACACATATTTCTTGAGCTCCAGAAATGTGCCAGACAGTTTTCAAAGTACTAGCAAAGAAGATAATATTTAAATATTTAACAATTTGGCATGATTACAGAATCAAATAGGAGGCTCTGCTGAGCCTGGTAATAACCCTTACTGTTCTGGGTCAGGTAGACATCTGGAGGGTACACAGGAGGAGCCAGGATGGCTAAGACCTTGGGGAAGGAAGGTAGCTGCTACTTACCAATCAGTGCCACCTTTTGAGAGCATGCAAAGCCCTACCTATGGGTACCAGATGAGTAAGGGCCTTGGCTTGGACACAGAGATGGACAATTCAGTCCGCACTTTCAATACGTGATGGTAAATGCTAAGTTGAAAGTAATCAGGAAGCACAGAGGAGATGGGGAACTCAGCCTCATAGCTGACGGAAGGCTTCCTGAAAGAGATGGTAACCATGTCACTTGTTCATCAGCCTGGCATGCAGAGGAGCAAAGTCCCCGAGGTCTTCTAGAGTGGTCCTATGAGAACAGCCTGAGAACCTGCACACCTTTCCTTATCCGTTGTCACCACCTCTTCCTTTGTGTTTCCCAGTCTCAGAACAGCTACAACGAGGGAGACTACGAGGGAGCCAGGCGGCTGGGGCGGAATGCCAAGTGGGTGGGCATCGCCTCCATCATCATTGGCCTCATCATCATCGTCATCTCCTTTGTGGTGCACTTCACCAGGAAGTAAGTGAAATGTCTGAATCCCTACATAACTTTCCTTGAGTGCCCACTGGAATCTGTTAGAGGCGGTCAGGATACGCTCCAGTAATGAGCAACTCAAAACAAAAGGTTCTGCACGTTATGTGGGCCACGTAGGTGGGGAGAAATTCTCTCCTCCATGCAGTCATTCTGCATGAACCCCAGGCTGACTCCAAGTCTGCTGTGCTGTATCTGGTCTATCTAGAACAGGGGTCAATGCATGTTTTCTCTAAAGGATAATAAACATTTTAGACCCTGCAGGCCCTATGGCCCTGTCATGGTTTCTATCACAGCCACTCAGCACTGAACAGGCAGTGTCATTGGGCAAAGCAGAAGAGGAGAAAGGGAAGCTCACATGGATTTCTCCCTGCCTCAGCCTCAGTGCCACAGATGTCACACAGACTCACAATTAAATGACTAAAACCAACCATCTCACCCCACCTGTTAGAGGATAAGAAATGAGGGAAAGCAAAGGATATTTGGCCTTCTCCTGGGTCTGCCTAACCATGGGCTCTGTAAATGACTTCTGCATGATTCTGCCTCAAACTGGACAAATCATTTTTAATTAAAAGACAGAAGAGCCACCACATATTTTTGGTATCACCAAAATCCATCTCATAAAGAGATAGATGCAGCTGAAGTTTCACCCTAGAGTTGGGTAAATGTCTTCTAGTTTTTCTAATTATCTGAGATGATCTGCCTGTGCTTAGAACTGGTGACATTTCCCACTGGAGGTTTGGCAGAGGAGGTTATGTGATAAGCAGCCCAGTCCCAGAACGACAAACCCAAATCCATCTCTTTTCTGCGTAAATCCTGGCCACACAGCTAAGAATCCTGAGAAAGCCTTTAGCTTTTCTCCCAGAGGAACACAGCTATTCCTCCACCTTTGACTAAAGCACTTTGACAGCTCTGCCAGAGCTGAGAAACCCAAGCTACTTGGCTTGGTCGACCCAAGAGGCTTATCTGGGTGGGTGAAGGAGGAAGCAGACATCCTGCATTGTGCTAGATGAGGCAATCCAATCTTGGCGACCAGGAATGTAAATGTTACAATAGATCACTTTCCTGTTGGACGAGCCAGACCCAGGAGTAATCAGTGGCAGCTGGAACGAAGGGGTGATGTCCTCACAGGAGATATTCCAAAGGAAAAACAAGCAGATTTGTTCAAAGAATGGAGAAAAGGACAGTAAGACACTCAAGGAAACATGTTTTCTTGATTTTATCACATTCATATAAATATCAGCAAATTGATTGACGTCCAATGATATTAGTCTGTGATGGGGAACATGGTTAGAGAACACAGGCTTGCTTATTCTTTAAATAAGGGTGTGTGTGTACTTGGAGCCATGGGCTGTGTGGTTGATGGTACAGGTTTGGCACCAGATTTCCTGGGTAGTTCTTCCCCACCACTTTCTTACCTTCAACCAATTGTTTAATTTCCCAAATCTCAGTTTCCTTAATTGTAGAGTGGGGGTTATAGTAGCTCCTGTTTCACAAAGCTACTGCAAATGTCAACTGTGTACTGTTTGGTGTCGGGTCCTTAGTTTCACTGAATCTTAATCATACTATTATGATCATTATCAACATGACCAAGAAAAGACCTGAGAATTTAGGGTGCCATTGAAAAGAGTTCCAGACTTCGCATTTATGCACCCAGCTCAAAGGACAGCGTCCCGGAGGAATGACGCCAAGTCTTGGCTCGGTTTCTGGGGACTTGTGAAAATACATACTGCCCAGATTCACGTTCGAGCTGAGTGTGTTATAATAATAGCAACGGACACTGATTTAGATCTTGCCGTACACCAGGTACTAGTCAAAACTCTGGCATGAATTAATCCTCACTGAATTCTTATGGCAACGCAAAGCTTAAGCTCTGTTCTTAATCACAACTCCACACTGCTTCTACATCAATGTGTCCCTTAATGCCATAACAAAGGCATTACACAGTACATGCTGTATTGTTGATCCTTATGTGAGGATTCAACCTACAAAAATGTTTGATGAAAGGCCAGGGATTTAGCTCAGTGACTCAAGCACTTGTCTGATAAGTGCAAATACAAAAAAAAAAAATGTTTGATGAAAGCCAGGCCTGGTGGAGAACAGATATAATCCCAGCACTTAGGAGGCTGAGACAGGAGGATCACTGCAGGTTTCAGATCAGCCTGAGCTACATAGCAAGTTCAAGGCAGCCCAAATTGCACAGTGAAACTTTGCTTAAAAATTAAAATGTTTGATGAGTCAGGGTCCAGGGTCAGAAAGTCAGGCAGGACACATTTATGAATGAAGCAGCCTGGTTATTCTACAACAGGGAGGTGAACTGGAGAACACAGTTCAAAGGGAGAGGTCACTACTATACTCCAGTTAGTATCACTTAGCACGAAGCCCTCATTTATTAAGAGGTGTGGAAATCTGGGTTTCTATGTAAAATCATCTGATTTTTATATGTTAACAACCAAGTCACATTGTTAATGCAGTGAGGAGGCCCAAAAATAATAAATAAATCAAAAACAACAACCATATCTGCAGCCTGCATGCTACCTACTTTGCAATCCATGGTGGAAAGCATGGCTTTCAAAGAGCCATTTGCCTATGAGAATTATCCAAGAAGTCTAAACAAGGAACCCAGTATTTTTCACATATGAGCACTGTATCCATTCTTAATATAAATGTCTGGAGAGGAAATGCCAATCTGTACATGCTCGTGGTTGAAACTTTCTTCGTAAGAATAAGAGGGTCAACTCTCCATTTCTCCTTCTGTAGCAGCAGAGGTTCACAGTGGATAGAGCCTCATTAGAGAATTAGTGTCCAAACCCTACTTCTAACACACAGACCACTGAGCACTTAATTAAGTTCTCTGTGACTCCATTTCTCTATCCTCAAAATGAAGATAGAATTATTTCCCTGTCTGTAAGGTCATATGTCTTTTAGATATCTCTCCCTCTATGTTATCAAAGGAAAACAAAATTTCCCATATTTAGAATTCCATGGAGAAGATGGAATTTAAATTTTGTCTTTCATGTGCAAGAGGGAGACAAGATGGAGAAAAAGAACAAAGAAGAGAGAATGAGAAAGGGAAGAAAGGATGAAGAGAAAGAAAGAGAAGCACAGATGGAAAGAGAAAGAGGGAAAGAGAGATGGAGGAACCGATCCTTAGAGAATTAATAAATTCCATCTTCCGTTAAGGTGAATAATGTGGCCTATTTCTCAGTAATCCTTCCAAATAAAATTCCCCAGTCCTAGCTTGCTAGATATTGAATGGCAATATGAAACTACTAAGGCAGAGGCTTAAAAGAAATTCTCATCCAAGCCCCGTCTCAGAAAATTCCAATTTGCTAAACCACATGCGAGCCCCAGAAGATGTCTTTTTTAACTCCCCACTCCCACTCTGGGAGTTCAGACACTGATGATTAGCAGAACCCTCTTTGCCAAACCCTGGCAAATTTCCTCCCTTCAAAGTCCAGAAGGAAGAACACACCGATGTAGCAGTAGCTTTAACAGAGTGGTCAGCTTTCATTTACATCAGCAAACTCATCCTCCTAACTTCTTAGGTCTCTGGCAGTGCCAAGGAGGGGCATAAGGTTACCACCTAGCAGATGTACGGAAAGAGCCCCGCTAACGATTAGAAGACACCAAGAAGGACCTGGGAAAATCTGACCACAGAGGATGCCAAGCCAGGAGTGAGATAAAAACTTATTTCTGTTGCGCTTAAAAATGCAATCTGAAGTAACTACTGCCTTTAAAAAATTGTGAAGTCCTTGCCTCTGGAAAAAATTTCAGTCTTGGGCTGAGATTACTGCTCAGTGGATAGAGCACCTGCTTAGCACAGGCAGGGCCCTGAATTCAATCCCCCAGAACTGCAAAAAAATTACTTACTTTTATAATAAATAATTTTTATCCTTTTTAAAAAGATAGTAACAAAGCTGTTGGAGAACAGATTGGAACCCAAATAGTTGAAATTCCAGGAAGACTTTTTTGACAGTCTTTACCCGAACTCATAAAAAGGACTCATTCATTCTAATTTTGTAGGCTATCTACGTAAGCCTTGTGGTAAATGAACAAAGATGGATTTCATGTCATCAAATTCATAAGGACTGAGAATCATTGGACTAAAATATTCCATAGCTCTGGGTGGAATACCATGTTGACTGAAGTGGTCTGTTCTTAGTGAAATCAGACACTTGCCTTGTCTCAAAATCAGAAAATTCTCTGTCCTTTAATTGCTAGAGATGACTCACATAGATGAAATGTTTAAATACTGCAGTCATTTATCAATCCTAATAAATTCAAATCACCTGCAGGCTTCTAGTTTCTGCTAGTGTCTGGAGAATTCAAGCAGGTTATTCTCAATGGTCATGTTTCTCAACATGTAAGATAGCAAATTCAGCTGGGCTGTAAATATGCAGATTCCTGGACCCAAGTCACATGGCTGTGAATTATGCATTATCACAAGCAACAAATACAAATGAAATTAATTTAAAGTTCTAAAGTTGCTGAGGCACCATCCTAGTGGTTTGTATTTAATAGAGGACATTCTTGCCTATGTGGACATGCCACAAAATGAGACTTTTTTACATCCCTAATTTAAGTGTTAAGCAGTTTCTCTTCTCCTACCTACTCACAAAGCAGTTCTCAGCAGACTCAATTCTGTGTCCTACAATTTAACTCAGTTCTGACACCATCTACCAAGAGTTACAGTCACATCACATGGGCAGAGGGTTTGTTCCCACAAGACATCCCCCATCCCAGATGTCATTTTATAAGCTCCAGATTGAGACTTACACTTCTGACTGACTAGCTCTAAATCAGAGGCTCCCATGACCTGCTCTTCAGGTTCTATTAACTTTCCAGGGTGGCTCACAGAACCCAGGGAAACACATTTACTGGTTTACTGTAAAGTACATTACAAAAGACATAGCTGAATGCCCAGATGGACGAGACAGTAGGGCAAGGTTTGTAGGAATGTGTGAAGCCTCATGTTTTCTCTATGCATGACACAGCCCAGGCATGGCTCCTATGATCCACAAGCTCTCAGAGCCCTGTCAGGGTTTTCAAGGAAGATTCTTTATGAAGGCATGATTAGACAGAGGTACAGCTAAAAGTCCCAACTATCCAATCACATGATTGGTTCCGCTGGCAACCCAGCCCCAGCCTGAGGCATGCAGGAGTTCACCAAGGGTCTCTGTTAGAACACAAGATGCTCAGATCACCTAGGAAGTTCCAAGGGATTTAGAAACCCTGTCATAGGACTGGGGATTTAGCTTAGTGGTAGAGCACTTGCCTAGTCCTAGGTTCAATCTCCAGCACCATTGAAAAAAAAGCAAAAGCTCTGTGTCAGGAATTGGGGTCAGAGACCAAATATTAGCATATAAGATTGTCTTAAATCAGTACTCCTATCCTTAAGGGTGTGAGGTTCTCAAGAAACAGGAGTAAAGATCAAGTATTTATATCTTATTGTATCATAGTATCACAATTAAGATACCTAGTAGCAGCTTCAATTATGACTGCTTCCCTAAAAAGTTTATGTACCTCCCAAGTTTGGTCAGAGTGATGATCTTTTATCCAACGTTCTACAAAATTCAGTGGAAACTCCTTAGTAGAAAAATTAGTTGATGATGGCAAAGTTTGAATACAAAGGAGACAAGCCTTCTCTGCCATAAAAATACCATTCTCAGATGATCCTAGTACAGTGGAGCTTCATTTTAATTGAGAGTGAGGTTTTTATGTCAGAGCATAAAGTGAGCTTTGAGAATAACCAAACTTAATCCTAGGAGCATTCACAGAAAGGCACCCTGTACAGACTCACACGTGGGTCTTGATCAGCCCTGTACAACCAGTGAAGATTTCCAGTGATAGAAAATGTGATGAACCCTTGAGTTGAGCACCTGCTGAAGCATTCAGCTGTGTTTAGAGCTCCTGGTGTCTCTGTAATCCCTGGGACCATGCTGCACACTCACAGAAGAAACAGAAATGATTTTCTTACCCATGTTTGTGACCACTGAGTGGAGTTGCAGCCAGATCCTCCAGCTCCGTTTGAATCTTTTTTTTTTCAAGGAACATAATGCATACAGAGAATGTGATCCAATGCCTTACTTCTCCAAGTGATTTTGAAGCTATGGAACCAGCCGTGTCCACACCCTGCCATGTATTAAAAGAGCTTGCTTGTCACTCATAAAAGCCTGTGGGCTTCAAAGTTTCTATTAAGAGAGAACTTGGCCTCTGAGCAGGTTTAAGAGCCCAGGACTGTGCTCCATCTGAGACACAGACTGAGCAGATGTTAACCCTTTCCAAACTGAAGAAGCCTCTTTTAGAAACAAATCGATGTGAATTCTTCCCTGGCCTCAAAATATCCTGCAAGTGTGTCAGCATCAGAAGGGAGCATATAGTATACTAAAGTAAGCATAAAGAAAGAACTTGGCCTTTTTTGCAAAAACAAAAGCAAATCCATCTTCTTTCCTCTAGTACTGGCTAGAGCAAAGCTTCCTGGGGATTGTTTTTGTGTACCTGCATGTTTGGAAATTTTTTTATATGTGTGTGATTTCATAATGAAAAATGGAAACAGTACATATTTCCAGAAGGTCAAAAGAGTTTTTCTTTGTTGGCCCAGATAAGTTAAGGAGAAGAAAAAGTCAGACTTACATTGCCAGCAACAATGGAAATATTTTTACTTGGAAAGAACATAAGCTAATGGGTCATTAATAAACATATCAGAATAAATGCAAAATAGATGCTCAGCTTCATAGGGAAGCACAAATTAGAGTTACAATGAAATACTCTATTATTTTGTCTTCCAGAAACAGTTAAAGAGACAGATAATATCAAAGCTGGCAGTGTGAAAACTCGGGTACTATCCTATTGGTGAGATGGTCTTTGGGGAAGGCAGTTTGGATGCACAGTCAGCCCTCTGTATCTATGGTTCCACATTTATGGATTCAACCAATCTCAGAGGGCAAATATGTGGAAAAACAAATTGTATCTGCATTGGCCATGTACTGACCATTTTCTTGACATTATTCTAACAAACACATTTTCTTGACATTATTCTAACAAACACATCATAACAGCTATTTAGACGGTATTCACATTGTAGAGGAAACACAGGAATCTAGAGATGATTTACAGTATACAGGAGGATATGTGTCAGTTAGATACAAATACTAGACCATCTTATAGAAGGGACTTGAGCTTTTGTGATTTTAGTATCCGTGGAGGGACCATGAAGCAATTTCTTGCTTACCAAAGGCTGGTCATATTTATTAAATTTTAAAATCCATGTGCCTACCAATTCCACTTCTCAATATCCACCCCTACATATAGGTGTGCAAAAATGCAGGTGAAACTTATTCTCCACTCTAGCTACACGTTACAATCACCCAGGGAACTTTAAAATAAAGTCACTGCCCAGAGTTTACCCCAGACCGATTAAATTAAGATCTGCAGTGATGGGTCAGGCATTTGGGAGACTTTAAAGCCCAAACCCACAGATACGCAAGAATATTTGTGACTGCTTTGTTTGAAATAGGGAACACCTTGAAAAGAACTAAATTCCCATCAGTAGGCAGGGTAAGTAAGCAGCAGTTTATTCATAAAGGCAGATACACTGCAGCTTAAACATGAGACATCCTTCTTATTATAATGGTACAAAACCCTGCACATTCTGGTTGTTGCTTCTCCATCCTCACCTGTCAATACTCTCTTCAGTCTCCATTTCAGCCTTATTGGATATTTCTGTAGTATATTTTTGCCTCAGGACCTTTGCACATGCTACTTCTTCTGCCTGTAACTGTCTTCATCCTCATAGCTACACAAGTTATTCCCACCCCTCTCCTGAGTGCTTGTTCATATATTACCTTAACATAGAGACTGTCCCTTTATTTAATCATCCTAGCTTTTGCCACCTCCTGATAAATTATGTATTTGTGACCTACATCTCTCTCCTAGAAAGAAAACTCCAGGCACATTGGCATTCCTGGCATTGTGCATAATAATAGAGCCTAGCACTGAAGGATGCCTACTTTGAAGTTAGACTAGCAGAGTTTCCATCTAGGTTCTGCATCTAAGTAGCTGTGCATCCTTAGGCATGTCTTTTAATCAACATTTGCTCGGTTTTCTCTTACATAAAATGTGTGTACGAACAGTACCCACCTCCTAGGGTTGCAAAGATTAAACTGCATAAAGCATAGAGACACAGTACTCACCATGTAACTGTTGGAATTACTGGCATCAGCGCCTATGGCAGTTCCAGCTGGTAAATAGTTATTAAATAAATGAATAAATAAATAAAAAGAAGAAAAAGGAAATTGCAGGACCATATACAATTGGCCCTCCATATCCATGAATTCTGTATTTGCATATACAAACTTTTCTTGTAATGACAAGAAAACGTACAATACAGTGTAACAACTACTTCCTTAACATTTACCTTGTAGTGGGTATTATATAGGGATGATTTCAAGTATACAATAAGATATGCATGGGCTGTATATAAATACTGTGCTGTTTTACAAAAGAGACTCCATCATTTGATTTTAGTGTTCTTAGGGGTTTTGGAACTAATCCTTGTATGCAATTTTATACAGCATGATCTAGTTCAGCAACCACTAAATGAGTATATAACTTCTCGGTGCAGAAGTAAATACCTGGTGGATGCACACCAAACTTCTAATAGCATCTCTAGCCACTGGGAGGAGAATGAGATTGAGGAAAGCTCAAGACATCTCTCTGCATCTGTATCATTCAATGTTTTGCATGTATCTCACATAAAATAAAATCTATGGTCCAAACCAGTCATGCGGGGACACATGCCTGTAATCCTAACACTCTGGGGTACTGAGGCAGGAAGGTCAAAAGTTCCAGCCTAGCTTGGGTGACTTAGTGAGATCCTGCCTCATATTTAAAATTTTAGCAGGGATGGGATGTGGCTGAGTGAAATAGATAAAAATTAGATGATGCAGATATAGATGATATGGATGGAGGTAGAGATAGAGATAGATCAAAAAAAATGGAAGTCGTTTGAGTCAAAAGTATACGATCTGCTAGTCAGTTTCAGCACACATGTAACTGGAATATTCTCCATCAAATAAGGCATCGGCACACCAGCAAAGCCCCCTCTGGAGGCTTGGTTGCAGTCTTTCTTTCTTACTCTGTCTATCTTTACCACACAGTCCCTGAGGAGGCCATGGTTGGCTGCAAGCTTGGAGGATGACGCTCATCCGCACACCCCGAAGAAGTTTGTGAGGAACGGATCCTTGACTTTAGACTGTGAGATCTTTTCCTCAGGACTCTCCAGAGGCAGGTCCCTGGCAAATGAACAGCAACAACAAAAAGTCCCCCGTGTAGGAAATGCAAGCCACATAGCCACATCAACCAATGTCACTGAAGTACAAAAAGGAAGAAAATGAAATCTCACTGTGTCCATTGAGCGAATGTCTTGTATACATTCTTCTTCTCCAGAGATGACCTCCAGGAGTCTTGTGACTCTCCATTGGGTAGGGGTCTGGATCTGGGGAGAACAGGAGGCTCCAGGAAGATCCTAGTGTTTATAGCATCAAGTACAAACATTTGCCACATGTTTAAAGTTGTCTAATACAGTTGAATTCATGGATTATTTTTTCCTTTCATTTTTTATGTTATAGAGTCGCTTCAGTCTTTAGTAACTGCTTCCCCATCAGCACTCCAGAACTCCCTAACCAGGTCATCAGAGACCTGGAGACTCTCTGACCTTTTCTGTCTTGATCCTTATTTTTCCTAATAGCATCCCACCCCCAACTTTCCTGATTGCACCCAAGTTGGTCAGTTTGATCATGACGTCAGTCTTCTTCAGGCCAGCAGACTCTGAGAATGTACTTAGTGGTCAATCCTAGGCTAATGGGCATCTTTTTAATGCCAAGTTTGGGCATAAACTGGGTGTGTTGCAGAATATACTCTCCTCAACCCACACTAATCACCTAAGCAGCCTCTCCTCTCTCTCTCTCTCTCTCTCTCTCTCTCTCTCTCTCTCTCTCTCTCTCTCTCTCACACACACACACACACACACACACACACACATTTCAAGTAAGAGCTTTGATTTTCTTTGATGCCACTTGGAAATGCCACCACCACTCCCCGCTATATTTCTTTTCTGTCAAAGGCAAATCCTTTAGGTCTGAATGAACTGGTTTGATGATACCATTATTCTGCCTGCCAGAATGTTCTGTACCATGTTTTGCAGACTGTGTGCCACTGGTGATACGCAGATAATTTCTAATTAGTTCATAGACCAACATTAATTAACACTGAATCCCGCAGAAATCCTTTCTATTCTTTTTCAATCCTGATAACAGCCAGGAGAAAGTTTGTATTGGGCTAATGGGTCCTTAACACCTTTTTGACACTGTGGCCTTTTAAAGAAAAAGCAGCCCTCAGGTTCCATTTTGTGTCTACAGAGAATTCAGTGATACTACTTTGTTTTCTTGGTATTTATTTTATTTGCTACCTTCCATTTGTGGTTTTGCCAAGATGTGTGTGCTATATTGTTTCTGTTCAAATAAACTTACGTAAAAATAAATGGACTCAGACTGGGGATGCAGCTCAGTGGTACAGCACCTGCCTGGCAAGCACAAAGCACTGAGTTCAATTCTCAATGCCAGAAAAATAAAATACTAATCAGACCTTTATAAAAATGAAGTAAATGGACTCAAAGACAAATACCAGGTAATTAACATAACAGGTGATATATGTGCATATAAATGGCAAAAGTCACATCAAGAAGTAGGATTAGAACACCGTTGTGATAAACATTTAGATTCAACAGAAAAGGCAGCTTATTCTAATTGAATGAACAAGAGGCTGAGAGTCAAAATACCTTTTTTTTTTTCATTAACTAACTGTGCAAGCTGATTTTAGGCAAATTTTCTTAGCCGCTCTGTGCTCAAATTCCTTCATCTGGAAAATGGGGATAAAAACGCTAGTCTGTTTACCTCACAGTGTGATGAAAATTGTCCTAAAAGATGCACCCTGGGGGGAAATTCTAAGTGGTGCACCAATACAAAACATGGTTCTTAGAATGTTTTAAATCTCAGGCATTTGTTAAAATACTGGACCCTAGCCAAAAAAAATGAAAGCTGATGGACACCAGATCCCACCTGTCCATTTTGTCCCTCGTGAGCCAGCACTTGTCCCAGGAGGACGCTGCGTCAGGGACATGAATTCTCTGCATACAGGGATGCTAGCGCCATTCCAATACACTGGATCTTGATTTTGTTTCCGACATTTTGTTTTTTGTTTACACGTGTTTGGGTCCCTTCCTAGGCTTCTACCCAAATCCAGAAGTGCAAAGTGTTGCTGAGAGCCTGAATAAAAATGGTTTTAAGTAAGACTGTTACTACGGTGTGTGAGTCATGTTTTCTTGGGATTCCCAGACATATCCATAACCAAAATGTGCTCATCCATCTCAGCACCCTTCCATACAGAATACCATAGAGAGGGCAGCCACGGAACAAGAGAGGCATCCATTCTGAACTAACATGGCCCGCCAGGCCCCTCTACAAGGCATCTCTAATACTGGTTCTGCAATAGTCAAAACAAAGCAAGAAAATCTGTCACTAAGAGAGATCTCTAGTATTGAGGCTATAAAATTATTTTTTGTTCCAGTGCTGACAAAGCTATATCTTCCTCAGGACATTCTGCCAAGCTGCAATTCCCCCCTTGCCCTACTCTCAAAAGCACAATTAGAAAAAGGATTGATCTGATGCATCACCCAAGAGACCTTTTCATTAGCCAGTGACAAAAACCGGATAGAGCAAAAAGTAGAGCTCACTGTCCATGTAACTGAAAATTTCAGGGGTGGCTTCAGGTATGGCTGGATCTTGGTTTTCCGTGCTATTAAGAACTTGTTTTGCTTCCTTTCTCAGCCTCAGTTTACTGAGTGCATCTTAGTTGCATCGTGACGAGATGGTTGCCACTAGCTTTGGACTTCTTCCCATCCAATTAGCAACACCGGTGCAATAAAGTGTTTCTGCCTTAATAGCTCCAGAAGGGAAAACAAACAGATTCAATTCAAAATAATGCACAACTGATTCTAAATAGGAAGCCGCCCATCAGAATAGATATAATCCATTAACAAACAGGTGTGAGCACCCTATCCATACAAATTGATGCTATCTATCCCCAGGGGTCTTTGGCCTCCTCTTTGGCCAGGCCTTAAGTCAGTATTGAACCACTGGAGCTGAGTGAGAGGTTAGTTCTATGCAATCTTTATGGACTGAGAATGTGGAAGGGGTGGTCCCCCAAAGGAAAGCCAAAGTGCTTTTACCGGAAGGAGAGACAGATGCTGGGCAAGACAAAGCACCATTGTCCACATTAAGCATTCTGCTTCTAACTGTGCTTTCCATACACAGGGCTACGGGAATCCAAGCTTTTCAAACAGCTCTTGCATTGTGCTGTCACTCAGGTCCGCTTCCTCAGCTGGCCGATATGTATAAAACACCTGCTCAGTCACAGATACTGGACCCGAGTTTGGAAATTCCAATACGGTCAAGTGGGAGCCTTAAAAAAAAGCTGCTCACAGTCTAAAGGGAGGGAACAGGCACATACACAAACAGTTAGAAGGGACCATGAGAAGCATGAACAGAATATTGTACGGTTGCTCACAGGACGGACCCCTGGCTATGTGAGGGAGAAGGCTTGGGAGCAAGTGTCCCCACCTCACCCTGTCTTTGTATTGCTCAGGCTGGTGGGGCTGCAGCTCTTGAAGTTGCCCTGCCTTTGCCTACAAGTTATGGGCAGAAGCAGATGCAGACATAAAATCGCTGGCCTCAGCTCCTGGATCAGCAAATTATCTTTGGCCTGCAACAGGACAGCTGCATTCAGCAAAACAGCACCATGCGTGTATCTTGATACGTAACCTTAGATCCAGGCTTCTAAATATAAGAGACAGTTTTGGGCCACCAATTACAAAAAAAAAATCTAAAATATTCTAAAACAGCGTGTACCTTCATAGGTTACTACTAACTCTTAAAAAATGGATGTTGAATATTTCAGCCCAGAGAATTATCCTATAAACTCCTGAGGCCAGACACTTTTAATTTCAGTTTTGACAAATGCAAAAAGAGGCATAAATGCTACTCAGGCTGGAGAAGTCACAAGGGAAAAAAGAAAAAGGAATTCTCTTTCTCGAAGATTGATTGGTTGATTGATGGACTGATTCCAGAAGAGATTTATTTATCAGAAACAGAGAGAAATGCATGGTCACCTCTGTGCAGTCTGCCGGAGGCATCTGGGTTTCACCTTGAGTACTTGTTCCAAACTGGGTGAGCACCCGTCAAGCCTAAGGCACTCAGCCCACTGTGTTCAACCCTCTCTTCCTGGCCAAGTGTAGACTTTCCCCTTCACATCCGCAGACTGGTTCGTTCGCTGCCTTGCCCTGCCATTTGGCTTTCCCCCAAGTTGTCTGCTCCTGCGCCTGCCATGAAGTGCTCGTTCCTTTGGGTTGACATAGAATCCTGTGAATGGGAACTAGCTGTGCTTTGCTGTAAGCACTAAAAGGAACTTGGTAAAGGCCAAATCTTGCCTGTAGAGCGGTAACAAATGGCCTGATGACTTAGCATGAAGGAGGACCTCACACAAAGCTGCACACCCAGGCTGGAAGGTAAGTCAGAGCCATTTCTAATGTTCATCTAAACAATTACAGTGGCTTCCTGCTAGGGCTCCTGTACCTTACTTTCTGACAGTATAACAAATGCTACAAGCACGGAGACTTACACAAATTTATCAACCTACAGTTCAGGAGGTCAGAAGTCTTAAATGGGTCTCAGTGGCCAAAATCAAGATGGTGGAAAGGTTAGCATCCCTCCTGGAAGTTCTTCAAGAGAATCCTCTTTCTTGAAATTTCCACCTGCTAGAAGCTGCCCATATATCTTGGTTCATGCACAGAAAATAGTATCAAGAATCAACAAATGGGACCGTATCAAATTTAAAAGCTTCTGCATAGCAAACAATATAACTGAGAGAGAAGATGACCCACAGAATGGAAAAAAAAATTCTCAGGTATTCTTCAGAACAATGACTAACATCTAGACTGTATAAAGAAGTCAAAAAATTAGACTCCCCTAAAATAAAAAACTCAGTCAAAAAATGGGCAAATGAAAAGAATATACCTCACAGAAGAATAAATACAAAACCAGTAAGTACATAATGAAATGTTCAACATCACTAGCCATTAGATAAATACAAATTAAAACAACTCTGAAGTTCTATCTTACCCCAGAAAGAATGGCCATCATTAAGAAGTCAAATAATACCAAATGCTGGCAGGGCTGTGGGGTGGAAGGAATGTTCTACACAGCTGTGGGAATGCAAGCTAAGTACAACCACTAGGGGAATCACTACCGAGATCTTCAAAACACTAGAACTAGAAATTCCATATGACCCAGCTAGTCCCCTTCCAGGGAGCTTCCCAAAAAAGTAAAAGATGTCGTATTACAGTGATCCAGGCACACTTGTGTTTACAGCAACACATTCCTGATAACTAAATCTTGGAAGTGGCCTATATATCCATCAGCAGATGAACAGATCAAAAATTGCACGATTTGCACAAAATGGAATACACTCGGCCATAAAGAAAAATACATTTGAGTCATTTGTAGGAAAAGGGATATGCCTTGAGACCATAAATAAGCCAGCCACACAAGACTAAATATCTATTTTCTGCGAAATTATAAATGAAGAGCAAAATTAAAGTAGTAGAAAGTGGAGAAATAAGTTGTTCTCACATGGGAATGGATGAAGAGAGGGAGGAGGGGCTGGAGATTTAGCTCAGCGGCATGAGCACCTGCCTTGCAAGTGCGTGGTCATGAGTTCGATCCCTGGTACTGGTTTTAAAAAAAAGAGAGAAATGGAGGGAGGGGGAAGGAGAAAAATAATAGACGGATTTAGGATGTGTTATGTATAGGTACCAATTCCTCAGGGTAAATGTAACCACGATGTATCACAAACATGTGCTAAGCTTTTACAGAGTCACCATTGGCCCCGCAGCTCTTCCTCAGGCTGCATCTCTTGCTGTGACTCCTTTGCTTTCCTCTTCCCAATTTAAAGAGCCTTGTCATTACCTCGGGCCCTCACAAATAGTCCAGGAGGTTCTCTGGGTTTTAAGGTCAGCTGATGGCACACTTAACTCCATCTCCTCCCTTAATTCTCCCTTGCCATGCAGACTATCCGCAAGTGCCAGAAATTCATATGGGGATATCTTTGGGAACCCATTATCCTGCCTTTCAGATTCTGCCTCACAATACCCACATGTAACAGCCAGAGTGACTTCAAAATCTAAAGTGAACTCCATCATTCCTTTGCTGAAAACCAGGGGAACCAATGGCCCCCAACAATTAAAACCCAAATTTTTACCATAGCCTGCAAAGCCCTACATGGTTAGCCCTACAGCTATGATCAGAGCTCATCTTTTAGCTTTCCCTAAATTCTGCTGCAGCCACACACTGGGTTTTCTATTGGTCTTCAAATGTGCTAAGAACATTCCTGCCTCAAGGCCTTTGTATGTGCTATTTCCTCCATCATGCAGATTTCCCCATAGCTTGTTCTTTCGCATTCCCTGGCTCTTAGTTTCTCAGAGAGGGCTACTCTAACCCCCATATAAAGCAGCCACTCCACTCCTAGTCACTTGCTGCCCATCACCCTGTTTTATTTTCTCCACAGGATTTATCCCACAACCGTTTTGTTTATTCAACTATTCTATCTATTTTCTTATTTACTGTTTATTGCCTATTGTCTCTCTCCTCCCACTAAGACGTCAGCATTCTGAGGGCAGAGACTATTCCACAGTAATACGTCTGAGCAGTTAGGATGGGACATAGCTCATGGCACAGACTCTATATATGAAGTCTGATCACAATGTATGCTGAATGTTTACATTTAAAAAAGTATTAAAAGACACATCACTAGGGGAGGAGATTCAGTAAGAAATCAAAGCATGCCTTCCCGTGAGCTAGCCAGAGCGTGGGCTGGGAAACCAGAAGAACATCTCCACCCCACAAACCCCATTAAGCAAATGGCTGATTGGGAAGACTCAGGGTGAGATGCTAGCAGCTGAGGGGAAGGGAGAGTTTGATGCTTGTGTTGTTTGATTGACTCTGCAGGCCTGCTGGTGGTCTGGGCATCTATTTGGAGGATGGCAGTGTGCACTGTGGCAACTCGGGGGATTTCCTCCTGACTTGTTTTGAAACCCAATGTTTTGTTCCATTTTACTGTTTTATTTCCATATCTGATAACCTGAGCAACTATTTTGAATATAACAATATTCAATATAGAATTCTCGTTAAATTCCTATCATCTCATTTTGAAAACCTAGACAGCCAATGCTATTTTTTGTTGTTG